GCCTTCTCAAATGCACCCACCACTTTAGTATTATTCAGCAAATTTTTAAGACCCCTGTGCACTAAAAGGCATCACATCCAAAATTTAAACCTTCAAAGCCCAGTATCAGCTGTCACTAACATTTATACACACCCATATTTTCTATATTTGATTTCCCAGAATACCATTTTTGCACATGCTCTGAAATGACTCAGCCTTAACCATGTCAAATGTGTTAGTATTGATCTCCTGCATCTCCCTGGAATTCATAAGCAGGTCTCACATTTCTCCCATCACAGGAGCTCATCCTTTACAACAGACTTCTATATGCCGCAACTCAGCTGTTAGGGCAAGTTACTAAAAGATCAACTTCATTTCCATCTTCTATCAGAATTTTGTCTAGCCTATTTTGCCCACTTCCCAGGAGGTTAATTACGTAGGTTGGGGACCTCCTCACTCCCTTCTATTGAACCTGTTCTAATTTTATAGAGTAAGCATTTTCCACCAGAATATGTGCATGTATGAGCCCACATGTGAGACACACTGTTCTGTGCACAGGTGGAGGGAAGGGCTGGAAGGGAGTCCTGAGTTGCAGCTGCTTCTCCAGTGAAAAGTTTACCTATCTTTGGCAGTTGCTAGAAAAGTACCACAACTCCTTGCTCCCCTTCTTGAAAAGGGAGACCAAGCAGGCAGTGAAAAGCGGTAAAGGAAATCTGAAACAGAAGGAAGCACATCTAACGCGCAGTAAGGTGGTGGTGAATCCTCAGGAAGATGGAGGATTTAAACTTGGGATGCCTCTCACTGGAGTTTCCCACTAGCTAAGCCTACTCACTTCCTCACTCAGTGCAAGAGTAACCTGAAGTCTGCTTGGAGCTGTGTATCCTCCCTCATCCATTGCACAATCAAGAAATTTAATTCAGAATTTTGCACTGTATCTCTAAAGAGGGAGCCCTAAAAGTTAACAGTGGCAAATGCGCAGCAGTGTGGCGTCAACATCCTTTAATGTCGCACTTTTACTTAACACCTTTGGAGTGGCTTCAAAATATTAATTTAAGAAGCCACAAATTGTTTCAATCTTAAATTCTGTTTAGATGCTTGAGTTCAAATAAGTTGGTTTAATTGTGACATCTCCCATTCTGCTGGGCCTTTGGCCTTACACACTTTCTTCCTTTAAATTGCAATTCAGATTTCATGTACTACTAGCATTTTATATTCCACCAGCAGCACATACTGTAACTTATGAGTATATTCTTTGAATGGTAAGTAGACTCTGAAATGCTTCAAATAAAAGCCTTTCAGCACAATCTACATAGGCCAAGCTTCTTTTGAAATTACATGCAAGGTAAGAAATGTGCCCAAGTTTCTGATCTCATCTTCCTTTAAAACAGCACAGAGATGCCTTGTATTGTGCACTGAAAACAAAGTATTTCAGAGTTGGATTTGAATATCAAATTAGGTATCGGCTCAAGGGAAGGACCCAAACATCACTGTAGATGACCGTATCAGTTCAGTGGTCAGCTACTGAAAAAGTATGGAAAAAACATATGACAAAAGGTGTAGAAAGTTAACAATTTTTCACTATTACAGTGGAGTTATAGCAGAAGTATACTAACCAGTTAAATGGTAGAGAGAAGGTAGACTAAAACTCTGTAGACCGTGTTTTAAAACAAGATCTAGAAAATAATAAATGAAGTTAAAAAGGTGTGTAATGCTTTCTTCACACATTATGATTACACTTTGGAACACATGATCAATAAGAGCTGTTCATGTCCCAGTGCTTAAACAACATTCTGCAAAAGCGCAAGCAATTTTTTATGGCTAACAGTAACAACTGAAGTAAATTTGGATAGCTTGATTTTTTGCAAAAGATAATAAAGCCAATGAATCAAGATTTACACCAATCCCTAACGGCTGGGAGTGTAGTAAGAGAGCTCTGATGCTGGGGACAAGTATTTTCCAGGTGAGTTGCAAGCTGAGAGTATTTCTCCACTGAAGAGTACCAACCGCACAAGGACAAACCCTGCCTCTTCTAACATTGCCAACTGTCAGATATTACTTCAAGGTGCTGCATTAGAACAGCAGAAGTACCTGCTCACCTGTATCTTTACACTGTCAGAATTCAGAACTGACACCATTTACCTGTTCTAACAATCACACTTACTCCTAACCTTTCTGAATGTAATCTTTTGGTGTGCATAAAACAAAGAAAATGACAAGGAAAATTAATTTCTCAAAAGCAACACTGTAAAGCTGCACTGGCACGTTTCAGTCTGGCTGCAGCGATGCTCTGAATTTACAATTTCAGATTGGATAATTAAAATCATGTCTTGTGCAAATACTTCTACCTTTATATTAAGTTTTCATGCACTCAGAGAACAACAGAGGTGTATCTACCTAGAAGGTGTGGGATACCACGTGGAGCCATCCTCTGAAACTTCCCTAGAAGTGACTGGGAATACTTCTCTAGCAATGCTATTCTGCCTAAATAGTTCAAGCATCTAGAGACCAGAAAATAACAGTTAACAGATAATAAAAAACATGTACAGACTGATATATGTAACATTACCAGTATGCAAAAAAATAAAATAAAACAAATTAAGAACTCCAAACATTAAATTCAGATTGTTTATTGTAAACAGAATAACTCTAGCACTCTGTCATACTGGCTGTGTCACATGCACCCAATTCCACATCAACTGCTTAAAATAGCACTTGCAAAAATTACAGTTATGTAATAATAACTTATGGTTTCTTACATAAACTAATTAACAAGCACTAAAATTGAATTACAGTGTATTCTAGGTAGTTTTTTATTGCTTGTAGACACTGCAGCTTTGGATCCATTAAAATGAACCCATTAGTATGCCTGAGTTTATAAAAATTTACTGCTATATCAAACTCAGAAACCATAAAATGCTGGAGAACACTTAAAAGCAATTAAGAGTTGCTGGAAAACTACATGGGTTTCCACATCCAGTCACAGAACTTTGAGACGCTACGTTTTCCCTCTGGAAAACATGATTTGTGAGCTTGTGTTAAATACACTGCCATTCCAATTTATGTATATGATGTTAAAATTTGAGTTGATAGTACTTCCATGAATATATATATATTTTTATTTTTACACTATAGAAGCCATTTTATTTACCATAAGAGTGGTATGTTTAAATACTAGTTCCCAAAATATATATTTTTATAATATGTTGTCAAAACTTTTAATATCTATAATACAAATACTTTTACTAAAGGAAAACTATAAACAAAAGCGAAATGCAAGAGGGTAAAAAGCCCATTTTATGTGAAGGATCCATGAAAAAATGTGTTGAACAGAGACATCTTTACTGTTTTTTCTTACGTTTAATTTTTTTTCTCCTCAGGCTACAAAAAAATGCTAGTGGCCTTCCTTGGCAACAGGTTACATCACAAACTATCATCAAATTTATTAAGAAGATGCTGAAACGTACTGTTAACCTTCAAAACAACTTTTAAATACACTGTATTTATTCAATTAGAAGAGACTCTCAAATAAATACAATTTAAGGCCCTTACCCTGTCAAGCATTAATTTAATTTGGCTTCAGAGCCAGTGTAAGAAAGAACATTGATTCAATGACAAGTACAGTCCAATCGAATATACCAGGATTCCAATGTACGACAACATGTGTGTCCCATCAGGGTCTTAGTTTCAGGTTTTTTTAATAAGAAGCAAACTCTCAGTAACACCCCTGATGAGCAGATCTTGTATCTTCCATGCTTTGCACACTCTGTCGTGTCTGAATAATTACGATCAATTTCATGCATTAAAAAAAAAAGAAGAAACTTAGTAAGATATTCCCTCACTTTTTTCTATTTGGGGCTGTCCCAAGCACAAGACCACTCTGCAGAAGTCAGTAAACCTGGTGAAGATTAAGACACCATATATAGTTTTACTATTTTACTAAATTATGGAATATATATACATATAGTATTTCAGCATAACTCTTCATCCTTCTGGGTTTTGCACAGCCTTCTTAAAAGAAATACGAACAAGCATTTTGTGATGTAACCTGAACCACACCCTGTGCCACTGCAGTACAGCAGGCACACCCAGTACTGCACTGTCCCAAATGCCTTCCTGAAGGACAAGAAGGACCCACAGAGATGTATCCGAACAATGACATATCTGATTCATTACAAGGGCTGTATTTGACAATCACCTGTTCTTGAGTCAAGAACTAACGTGTGCATGAAGTTATCTGCACTAGTAAGTACTCTTTGCTGGACTGAGACCTAACATAAAAAATGAGGCAAAATAGACCAAGTTCTCCATCAGTACGTGCACAACTGAAAACAAAAAATGACACCGAATAAAGTATTTTATATACCAAATGGAAACAATTCACAGTAACGATGAAAAACTGAACTCGATGTTGACAGTATCAAAAGACTGGGACAACACTTTTGATAACAAAAATAAGATGCACTATTGAAGTGTTTCCAGCATTTTACTAGTTTTAATATAAAATGTCCCCAATTTTGTATAGAAAAGATTAAAATCATGCCCATATCTTCAATTATTCTCATCAAGACAATTCTTTCACTTATACTGTGTTGTCAAATTTCCTCCCTCCCCCACTGGTCTTCTTAAAACTTAAATATAAAATATGTTGGTTGCATTAAGGATCAATTAAAAAAGTATCATTCAACACTTCACTTCAAAAAAATGTGAAAGTCTCTATTTTTAAGAAAAATTGTTGACCCCATCCCAAAAAGAACCTACTTTTCTCACCCTCTCCAGCCCCCAATAAGATAATTAATGGGATCATAAACAGTGTTTTTCAGGAATAACAAGGATATTTCAAGCAATTTTGTTTGCTCTGGGGAGATTATTTTACCAAAACAAAAATCTGAAGGGATATTTTTTTAAAAAATACACGGCATCTACAAGTTCTTTATTATCATTGTTTCAGTTGATTTTGGTTTTCAACAGGTTGTCTGTAATATAAATGACACGACCACAACTGATTTTTGTATACTCTCTAACCCTAACACACAGCTAATGTCAGATGAACCAAGAAGGAATTCAGGACCTTCATTAACGGACAGAACCATTTAGCCTAATGATCTTTAATAATTTTGTTCATCATTATATCCCCTGAAACCACGTCAGTACTGATTATTTGCATTTCTTCATCCATTGAGGTTCTTCACAGTTTTGCAGCCATGAAATTGATATGCGGTTTCACCAAAAAAGCAGACTGCGCTTGAATTCTGTCATATTTTCAATCACACTTGGCTGCAAAGAAGCGTATGCAAGAAAAAGTTTGCTCAATACCTTTAATCAGAAAAGTGAGAAATTCCTTGCTTTTCATTTTAACTTTTGCTGCAGCTACATATAAATACATATTTCTTGCTCTTTTCTACAATATTAGTGATTCACATTTCATGATTACAGGATCACCCAAAATATTGTGTTATTTCTTACGAAATAAATGGTTTCATATTTACTCTGGAAAATTTAAAACAACAGCATCACTAATAACAGCAGGAACTTTAGTAAATGCAGAGCTTGTCTTTTCATTTACAAATTCCACTTCAGAACATCCCACCCATCCTTTGAATATCAGAGGTAAGATCACAAAAACAATAGCCATTCGATGAGCTGTAACTTTTATTTGCAGTAACAAAGTAACCTTTTAATATTTCACTCATAATGGCTAATATATCCACATATAATTCATACAGAAATTTCCACACACAGTGATTATTTTACCTGTAAGGACTGAATGATAACACAGATCTATTACTGCATTATGAAAAGTTAATTACCTATTGGGACAAACATTACTATCCTTCAAGAAAATTCATTTAAGGTCCAGTTAGGGCCCAGGTCTATCATATCTAAGCACACAGTGAAATCTGTAATACTTGTATGAATAGAATTTGACAAATTGCTTCCTCCACAGGTTATGCGTTGACAGGAAATTTGCTTTAATATTTCACGCTTTAAGATAATGACCAGATATTTGGTTTTGTTGTTGCTGGTTTGGGGTGGGTTTGTTTTTGTTTGGGTTTTTTTTGAACAAAGACTGTAAATTTGTTGATGCATATGCATCTTTCTCTTGACACCTGATACATCTGATCACATACAGTTAGTATTTTCAGACAATAATAATCTGTATTTTACTATATAGATACTCAGTAAAGTTAACTACTAGTATTAACTTTCATTTCAATGGAATAGAAGGAACGAAAGTACCAGGTTAAAAAAAAATGAGGAAACATCCCTGTTGTTATTGAGGATGACAATATACATGGAAAGGAGCTGAAATGTCAGCCCCTCAACAGCATGAATTTCAAGAACCTAGTTTCTCCCTATACACTTTTATTTAATGATGCTAAACTCCCATATTAAGAATACAACCTGGGATTTTTTGTGTGTTGCTTTTTACCTGTGGTAGTGGCGGTGCTGGTGCCAGGTTCACATCATTTTGGCATGGAAATTCTCCAACAACAGGGCCTATTAACATCATCAAAATTAATTCAGGACCATCATTTAATCAGTACCTTTTACATAAGAAACTGTTTTCTCTTATAAGACAGGTATCTATAAAACCAATAACCTGTGCTTTCTGAAGTATCTCTAGATAAGACTTTCTGAACGTTTTGCTTTTATACTCTATAGTTGTCTGTAGAAATACGAAGCGCTTAATCCATTATTTGACTTAGGAACATGTGCTGAGGCAGAGGCTTTTATTCATCTTAATTACACATAAAGAGTATGTAGAAATAAAAATTGCCAATCTACTGATCAACGACTACTTAAAACAGTTTTCCAGTACACACTGAGAACAGTAGTAAATGCCAGTGGTATATGCAACAAGAGCAACACAACAACAGCACATCTTTAGTAAGGACATGTTTAGGGAGACATGGTGGTTACTCCATGTACCAAAATTCTGGATAACAACCCCAAGTCTTCCCCACCTGTCCCCGTGTATGCCCTACTCCAGTCCCCCCAAAACTTTTTCCTGCATCCAGTCCACTTGTCCACACGAACAACTAAATTCCTTAAAGTTCTCTTCTACCTTCATACTCAAATTTCAACCTTAATCTTCACCCTGGGAGTTCAAGTGCTTCCCCCTCCTAAAATCCTACATCTCTACTGCTTTAAATCCTACATCTGTAAAACATTTTACATACTGTAAAATCCTACATCTCTACTCTTTTCCACTCTCAGAGTAAACGGTGTGTCTTCCTCTAGGAGGAAGGGTTCTCTCTGGGAAGCTTTCTAGCCTTCCTCCTTTGTGTTACTTTCTAGAGGGCAAGCACCTGCACATGGAAGAATGCTCATTTGGACTTCCAGGAAATGCATTAATAGCAGAAGAGAGGTGATATGACAGATTGAATGGTTTAGGACTGGGCAGTATGTGGAGAGAATACCTTGCTATAATCTCTGTGAGAGTAACCACTTGTTGTCTCCCATGGAAGAGAGTTTTGGGACTTGTGTTGGGAAGATACCCTTCCAAGCAATTAAACCATTCTGGCAATGTAGTTACTACATTTAAAAAAGTTTTTTCTTGATAGGAAAAATAATAGAGCTCTTTCTATTTAGCAATGATAAGTCATGAAAACTGGAAAGATGCTTTAAAGCAAGTCTTCCTCACTCAGCTGCAGTTACAATTTCCACAATACAATAAAAATCAATCATCCTGAGACTGGAAAGAGTTTCATGACAGGCACACAGCTATCTGCTTCCTTCTGTTCTACAGACAAGCCTTTAATATTCTTGATTTTGCAACCAGTTACATATTGGAATCTAAGTCCCATATAAACTGGTGAAAAATCTGCACAAAACAACATAGAGGTTTTTCCTCTGGGTTTATTTATATAAACCAGAAACACTTTTAACCTTTTGCTTCTTGAATTCTAAAATGGAACAACACAGTTTACAATGCACAGCTAATCTAGATTATTTGAAAATAAGACCTAGATAAACTTTTACTTTCTCAAGTTTAAATACCACGTTTGACATTCCCAAAGGGTTGTTTTTGTTTGTTTGTTGTTCTTTTTTTCTTTTGAGAGTGCTTGAATAAAATTGTGGACATTCATTCCTTGCCAGGAAAAAAAGAAAAATACAAACCACATTGTAGTGGTAACTGCAAGTCCTAATTTTGGTTTTCCCTGTAGGACTATTACACAGTTTTATGTTTGTTTTAAAATATCCTGTTGAAAAAGGAAGTGTTATTTTAAGAAATATTGTTTTAATATCAATATACTTCAGAATGGCTGAAGAACTTGGTTGCAAATATCAGTTAGAAAATTTGAAGCATCCATGTGAAGAAAACTTATAAAAATAAATACTTTTTCCTCCGAAAGGTATATCATCTCCAGAGCCAAGTTTTTCTTATAGTGTATTTGTATCATATAACATGGCTATCTTTAACTATGACTTGCTTGAACAGGAACTGATTAAATACTATATGCAGCACAATACTTACAGGAATCCATTTCCCTTGCAAGGACGTGTACTGATACCTTATGTCTTCTGGGAGCATCTATTGCCAACAGCACCTACAGTTAAAAATATCAGGTCCTTCAGATGTGTGAAGTATCACTCAGACATTATATTTATAATGCAGTAAAAGAATGAGAACACTTAAATTTTAATTTAGGCTTTATAATGAGGAATGAATTTTGGGATGTACCTTCCAATATTATTAAAAGTCATCCATACAGTACTTTGAATTATTTTACAATCAAGTTAAGAAATTAATGTACTGCCTGTGACTCAGAAAAACTGGAAGCAGTAGGAATTCAGCTCTGAAATATCATAGTATCAGGAACGTAACCTAAAATGTCTGCAGAATTTTCAATCCCTAGCAGCCTTCTCGAAGCATATCACCCCGAACACAGTTACTGAATTCAGCTGGACTAGCTCACCAATCGAATTATTTCTGCTGTGGAATACCAGATAATCACGCATTAAGCAATAGTGCAAGCAAAATAGTATAGGTTCCTATAAAAACAGATGGTGGATACTTGTTCAAGTTATCATTTACTAAAGAATAGCTACTGAAATTCCATTTATGAAGTTTGTATTTGCTGCATATTTTCACCTATGCTACCACACTATTAAGAAAAAAAAAAAAAAACCAAACAGATTTTAGTGTTCACTGTGCCACGTCAATAATAACCAGTTTTAAGCATTAAGACTAAATCTCATAAAAATAGACAGTAATGTAAAAATGACCTTGGATGGTGAGAACAATAAAGCAGAGTACAAAAGAGAAAACATTTTGAAAGATGTTAGGCCATCCCCTCCACGAGAGAAAAAAAGAACATACAGACACACACACAGCCATACTTCTTCACAGGCAGAAATTTTTCCATCCAATAGTTACTTCCAGAGACACACATGCACCTACACTATTTTCCAAGTATTCCCTGGGCTATTAGCTAGTAATAAAACAACGTGTACACTTTGCAATAGAGTTCTCACACCCTATGAAATTTGTTACAAAACAGAAAGAATGAGGCCCTTTTTTTTTTTTTGGGGGGGGGCAGGGATGGGACACAACCCCCTCAGTATTTCAATTACTTGTATTAGCTGAGTTGCAATGTACAATTATTGCATCATTATGCTGTTCCTTTGTTCTGCCTAACTATGAGAGAAAGGAAGAGAGTTGCTTTACAGTGAATGAAACTTTAAAAATATCCGTTTCATTCACAATTCATGCACACAAAATAAGCTGAATCATTTACTGGTTGAAGAAAAAAAAAAACAAAACACAAATATGCAATTTTGGCCAAGCTTGGTCATAGAGCAGCACATTTTTTATCCATTAAGAAAGGATAAATAAGACGAGGACAGTAAGTGCTGGTAAGAAAACAAAAAACACACAACAAAACCCAATCCTTCTCCACAATTTTACAGTATGCTAATTGCCATTAAACTAAGAAAGATTCAGGAAACTGAGACAGGGGGGTTTAAAGTTAAAAGGGATCGAAAGACTAACTAATTGAGAATAGCTGTTCGGACAGTATATGATTAACGTTTGCCGTGCTTGCGAAGACAGGATGAAACGATCAAAGCTGTGATAATGTGGGAGGAACTGCTAACCCAAACGAGAGGAGAGAATACAACACCTGCAAGGCCACGGAGATAGGGAGACTCTAAACTAGAACGGCCTCTAAACAAGATGGGAACCAGCCTGGTTCTTTGGACTGAAACCAAGAGACCAGGAGGTGAGAAGTTCAGCTCCGATGAAGACTCATTTACTTCATCCTGTGGACCACTGGACGACCACCAGGGAGCACTACGCAGGCGCAGAAGGACTCTTTAGCTAATTATAATACAAAGCGGGGCTAGGCGGGGCAGGGTAATTAATATGAATGGATGGATTGAAACTTAATGCATATGCAACATTTTGGGGAATAAATAGAGGGATAGGTTTTGCGAAAAGGCACGCATGTCTTTGGTGGAGCTATCCCCCATGCGTCTTAGCGCTGAATAAACTACATACCTACAACTTTCAGGAGTTGTGGAGTCTTTCCGCTTCAAAACAAAATTATTATTAAGGTATCTGCACCAATCATATGGTCTACCTAACTAAAAGAGGCGTAAGTATATGCTTTCACAGTTCACACAAATAACATCCAGTTATACCTACATCTCTTTCCAAGCAACATTTCAGCTATGTGACTAACTCACCTTGTAGAACTGTATAATATCATCCTTGGTCAGGGTCTTTAGATAAGCCACTTCAATGTTATCTGCACAACAACGGTAAAAATTAGAATACGTCTGCAAATCATAGCTGGCTATTAGAACACTACTTATTCAAAGTATATTTCTTTCAAATTCAGATGGTGTAACTGACTGTAAATGATATGCTTTTCATTGCTAACTTTCAAGCTAATACTTGTATCACTACAAAAATGTCATTGGAAGCTTGGCAGAAAATTGTATTTCAGTTTAAGTCCATTTTATTTGCCTTACTAAAAAATGCATGTTTGAAGAATACTGATTGCATTGTATGTTATTCAGTGCCTAAAAAAAGATAGGCCTAGTTCTGTATATTGTCTTCAAGTCAACATTACACATTTCTAGTGCAGATGGATTATAGATGGCTTTTATTCAGTTAGGATATAGGATGGTAGGATGTACTTTGCCAGGATATACTTTTAAATAAATGTAAGGAATGGTGACTACATCATACCTGCTAAGGAATAATCACTTTTAAGGTATCTGGGGACAATGTACCTCAGTAGCTACATTGCTTCACATAAATTAAACTGTAATTAACTAATCATGTAATATTGCTGCATAAGCAGGACTGCTGTTTGTTGTAGGCATGCTTGCTTTTCATAGGATTTGCAGGAAGATCAAGAAAGAAATGTGTGCAAGAGAACAAATATGCAGCTAATGCTAACAAGTATTAGCTTGTAAGTAATTAATGTGAAGTTCTACATGGAGAAAAAAAAATTGGAAGATTAGATTACATTTGGGAGAAAAATTTTAAATGCAAGTAAAACAGTAAAGTGGCAATAATAACAATGTAAAAACCTGAAGAAAAAACCCTTTCACTTCTTAAGGCTGCAATATGAATTTCTGATTTTCACATTTTAGTCATATTAGAATCAATAATGGAATAAAATTATTGGTGAGTAGAGGGGAACTAAAGACATAAAAGTGTCCTGGGTTAAGCTGAGACAGAGTTAACTTTCTTCAGAATAGCTAGCAAGAGCCTGTGTTTTGGATTTGTTCTCAGAAAAAAGCTGATAAAAAGTGATGTTTATGTGGCTGCCAAAGTCTTTCAGCTTCTCTGGCTGTCTCCAGACCGCAGAAGCTGGGAGGGAGCACAGTCCCAGTTACTAGCCCAGGATTTGATCTTAGGTTCGGGACTGAGACCCAAAGTGGCCAATAATCTATTCCATAACACACACATCATGCCCAGTATACAGGTGAGGACCCTCCGGCCTTTTTGTTCTGGATCATCTCACTCCATCGCTCTCCCAAGGCCTTCCGCCCCCCCACCTGGGTCAGCTCTCAGTCTGGGACGCTCGGACTGTTATCTCCGTTCCATGAGTGCAGTTTTGGGACTCTCCCTGCTCCAAGATTGTTAGCCGGGAGTGAACTGAGCCTTGGTCTTTGGGTGGGGGCTCAGTATCACTGTGTATCACCCATTTGTATATTTGTATATACTATTATTTTCAATATTATTTGAAGTTTAGTTATTAAGTTGTTCTTATCTCAACCCATGAGTCCTTTTTTTCCCTTTACCCCTTTAATTATCCCCCCTATCCTTGGGGGGTGGGGGGGTACAGGGAATGGGATTGAGTACACAGGTGCATGGGTTAGCCCCCAGACAAGGGCAAACCCATCGCAAAAAGTCAAGGGAAATAACAGTTCAGTGGGATTTAGATATGAAAGATATGGCTACAGATAGCAGTAAGAAATTCCAGAGAGATAATACAGATCCAAATATGGTAAAAAAAGAAACACTTAACGCAGAGAAAAATTAAACTGTTTCATCACACACAAAAAAAGTACTTGAGGGGATGGGTTTTCATGCCACTCCTTATACTCAGGCATAAAACCCTGTCAGTAGCTCTCATTCTTTCAAGAGCAAGCCAGATGACAATTCAAAATTTTTCCTGATTAAAACTGTTCAGTTAGTCACTGTCGACCAAAAAGACTGTATCTGCTATTATGGAAGGCCAATACTATGCATGTAAAGCTGAAGAGAAGTCCCAGGATACAGAGTGAGTTTTATGTAGGAAGCATACTATGCATGGAAGATGGAACATTATAGCTGTGGATAAGAGCTGATGCATGAAAATTTGAGGAAAAGCTGATACGTACCTAAAAGTATTTTTTTTTAAATGTTAAAAACTATATTACTAATATACCTCCGTATTTTTTATTTTAAAAATCTTCACACAATGACGAAAAAGGGAAAAATACAACTTAGATACTATGTAGGATCACAATGTAAGTAACTGCCCATTTTCAGTAAGAACAATAGAAGCTGGATCTCAATTGGTCTTCTACAAGTTATAAACTTCAAAGTATCATGGATGAAAAAACAAGAAAATTAATGTTTCTTCAAGCCTACTCTAAGCTGAGACAGGTCACATATTAGTTAAGATACCTGCTGATGCCTCTGCCATTGCTCCCTCAAAAGAACTGCGCAATGGGAAGAGGAACAGGGTTCATGTGAATGTGTGCACCATCAGCAATGTTGAAGTATATTTGAATGGATCTCAGTCAAGTATTAGGCACATATGTAATACAGACATCTGAACATCACAGAAAGAAATTTGAGCTTATGCGACATCAATATTTGCATTCAAACCACTTTCAATCCTTGACCTACTCTGTCTCACTGAGCCTTAAGGGAAAGGACAGAAGGCCAATGAAGCATGCGCCAACCCCCATCATATGGTAAACATCATCGAGCACATTTATATTCTATCACTAACAGCTCCCACACCTGTGAGGGCAGGGGCTCCACAAATGAGATATTTTCTCAAGCAGAAGGAAGAAACACAACTTAGAGGACACAAATCACAGAAAATATATTACATTATGCACAGGCTATGTAAAAGTTTAAGCTGTGCTCAAATGAATGATACTCAACAGTCGTAAGTGTAGCCAAACTAGAGCATTCAGTTTTAAAAGAATTATAATTTGTCTTACCTCTATCAAAGTTATACTGCTGGGAAATTATTTCTCCCCAGTATTTAGCACACTCTGCAGACAGCTTCTTTGGTTTGTCTAGACGACGAATTGCTAAAGCTTGGATGTGTTTTTGGAAGGCCTCTTCTGTCATATCTTCTATGCATTTCTCCATAGTTTTTAAGAACGCTTCAACTCTGCTTTCTAAATAGTGTGGTGGCTTTTCAGATTGGATAATAAATCGCAGTCCTTGTATGCCATTTGCTCGACGTGGACCACTGAACACAATGTAACCTTGGCAAAACAAGAACAGTTACAAATTAAAAGAAATCCCTTGTTCCAGCATTAAGTTTGCCAAACATGGCATGTTTGACAGGAAAAAGTTAAATTCTGTATTACAAATTAAATAATGCAGGTTTTCAAAATATGCCATTGTATTGTTTTTAAAAAACATCTTTATTTCACCGAGGTAAATACCAGTTCAGGGGAGGGGTGCGGAGAAGATGAGGCAGAGCAAGACAGAACAAAAGGAATTCTGTCATCTAGATTAGGTAACCAGAAATTAAGCTGTCCTCTAGTGCTTCATTAGACTCAACATTAGGAACTTATTATTATTTCTTCACAATATCTGAATTCTATTTGCCTCACTGTAAGACCACTATTTCTCATCAATTAGATACAAAGAAAATATTATTCCCTTCCTTTTTGTTGCAGCTTTTGCTTATTGAAAAACTAACCCTTCTTCATTCTTCTTTCCATGTTTTAATAACGAATCTGTCATATTTCAGTCTTTTAAATGTTGTTTTATAGCTGTCTAATTGTTCCTTGATGCTCATGTCAAAACTGGATACAGTATTTTAAAGTCCTCACCTGAACAGTATAGGAGTATTATTGTGTGGGCACCTTGGAAGCTCCCATTATATAACCCAGCATTTTTACAGAGCAGCATGACACTGCTGATTTTGTTTTACTTCTGATCCACTGAAACCTGTAGATTGTTTTCTACATAACTGCTACCTAGCTTGTATCTGTGCCACTGATTCCTACCAGACTACATCTTATCTTCATTCAAGTCATGTTTCAAAATGTCAGACTAATTTTGAATTCTATCTTCCCACACACTTGCAGCCTCTCCCAGCTTAGTATAGTCTGAAGATGTAGTAAGTATATTCACTTTTCTTCTATCATCCAGAGCTTTGATGAAAATAATAAATAGCACCGGATCACATTAGAGCTCTTTAGAACACCATCTATCTTATCTATTCTCCAGTCATGACTTTCCAACCAGTTTTGCATCCAAATGTGCAGCACTTCCACCTAGGCGCTCTCTCTAGCTTGTCTGAGAATATTATGTGCCTGTCATACTATCAAGAAGAGGCATACATCACCACTTGCGTCCATACAGCCAAACTCCGTTTGTATAAAAAAAGTTAGGTTAGTTTGACCTGAGTTTGTCCAGTAATAGCCTCTCAGTTACCTTCTATGAATTTAGAACTGGTTTGACAACTCACTCTGTATTTTCCAGGAATGAGAATTAAGCTGACTGGTCTGTAATTTACCTCTCTTCTCTTTCCTTTTTTAAGGAAATACATAGCATTTATCTGTGTTTATTTTTAAAGCACCTCATCTACCATCCACAAATTCTCAGTTATAAGACTTCTAATACTAGGATTTCATACTTTTGGTGTTTTTTGCTGTAATGTAGAGTTCATCATGCCTGAACTCTTTAAAAGCTTCTAATTTACCTGAACAGCCTTTAATCTGTTATTTTACCATTCAAAGGTAAGCCTTGGACTTTGATCACTGGTATTTATTTTTTAAATCACCTAGTCACAGGTGACATTTTAAGTGAAAACTAATAAAGCCATCCTAAAATATTTTGAATCTTTTTTCCACCATTGGCAAGTTTTCTCTTCCTCTTTCTTGTACTGCTAAAGCATTTACTGAATGAGTTCTTGTTACTACTTCTACTATTTAGCAAACTGCTAACTCGTGAACTTCTTTTCCCCTTAGCTTTCTCAGAGATTTTATTAACAATTCAATAAGTTTATTGAATTTTGCTGGTATTTCTATTGTCTTCCCTCCTAAGTCTTGTGAATTCTTATCATTTGGCAGTTATGCAGTGCTGGACACACCCACGCAGTTCTTCCTCAGTGGTTCCCCCCCTCCAACTTCTATACAAAACCTGCCACCAGCACATTTCAAAAACCTGCTGAATAACCTGGGTCCTGCCCTATTTTCAGCAGATACCTAGTTAGTTAAAATCCCAACAATAAATACGGTATAAATATGGCTGATTCTGCTAGTTGCTCACAAAAAGTCTGATTTTGCCTGATATCCCTGGTAGTTCGCAGTCATCGCACTTAGACATTCGCTTGCCTGTCACCTTTGGAAAAACTGTACGCCTCCTCATCAGTATTTCAATCATGCAAACTGACACGCAAAGTCTCCCTCTCTCCTTGTTATTTTGTTTGGCATAACCTTACCCACTCTCAGTCTTACTGGTTCAGGTAACACTTATTTGTACTTATTGGTGAACAGCTGTGGTCTTAAAAAGCTTGAAATGTATTTAGGTCTTCACCAACATGGGAGCTTACTATTTCCCACACAGCAGTATTCCTAAAATAGGGCTTATGAATCATCAAGTGCACCTGGAAGTAGGACCACAAACAGAAAAGACCAAAATACTACTGCTTCTGTAAGAAGATGTAAAATTTAGGAAACTGATCTCATCTCCTTTTGGTAATTAAACTTTTTTTACGCCAGAGTTGGTTTCAGATATTTCAGACTTATCTTAAAAATTATGCTTGCTTCTTCTCAATTCAGAGTCTGTGCAAACTAACATTCATTCCTTTGAGTCATCAGCAGTTAAAATGATTTACATTTACCAAGTGCCTTTTAAATGGCATTCACTAAGCAGGGAAAGAACACCTCATCATGTCTCGTAAGTGCATGAGTATGCATGCATGTGTGTATACATACACATGATCTCTATGGGAAAACTTACCTAATTGTTCCTTGGTGCGCAGAGTATTGAAGCATGGTTCTGAGATAATTTGACAAAAGAGCTCCAAAAACATATTCTCAGAAGTGCTTTGCATGTCTGTCTGGTAATATATTTCAATGCCACAATTGTTATGAACTTCATTTCTCTGTTGATACACAAACCAACCTCCTAAAAGACAAAGTTGAAACATTTTATGTTCATAAAAATGTACATTCTTATTGTCCACAATTAAACAGATAATGGTCTATCTCTTTTGGAATGGAATTGTAACAAATGGTTCAGGACTGTTAAAGCAGAATTTCCACTAACAACATACTTTTCATGAAACAAGTAAAGAAAAAAATTATTTTAATGCATCGAAATGTCATAACTTAAGCATATCAGCAAGTAAATTGAAACTAACTGCTTCTCCTCTAACCAAGTATTTTTTGGAACCGAAATGGAATTCTGCATCACCTCTACTGTTTCTAAAGACAATTTATCAGAAACATTTATGAACATGAAAAATAATTCAGCATTTAATACCCATAGCTTCTTTGGTATATGGTAGTTTCCACAGGCTGATGATGAGCTATGGCTAATTGGCTTTGGCTGTATAACTATGTCACTCCTGTATAACTCACAGCAATTCCTTGAACCTCCTTTCTTACGTGTAAAATTTTTTTGTGCAATAGAAGTAAACTCTATATAAACACGAGATCAAAAGAATTTATATTACAAAAAAACAAAGTTACTTGTGTAAGAGCTTTTAGTTTTCCCAAAAAGCAAGAGTCATTTAGGACAATCCTTCACTGAACGGACAATTAATATTTTATATTTTAAAGTGCTCAAAGAATGGTGCATATTCAAATGTGTATATTATCTGTGGCAGAGAGTGGGACAGTGATCTTATTTCCATAAATCGTACTGAGTTAGGATTAAATCACAGAATCATAGAATAGTTTGGGTTCGAAGGGACCTTAAAGATCATCTAGTTCAACCCCCCAAGAAATCCAATTTACATACACAGAAATCAAATTCATTTTCAAGTATACCAGAAAGACAATGTATTGTATAATTTTATTCACAAAAGTATGCCCTAATTATATTTTTAAATTTAAACTTTAAGATAATTTGAAGTAAGTCTCATTTCAAAACAAACTCCTAGCAACAGAGTAATACTCACTTTAAAATGCCATTAGCAAACAGAGAATCTCTATTTAACATGCATTTAAAAATTGTAAATAAGTCATTTAACTTACTGTCAGGAAGTTGCACTTCTCTGTATCTCACTAGCTGACTGGGAAGGAGTGGCTTTGTATGAGCGTGCTCAATAAGAGTGTCCTCAACCATCTGCATAATTCCTAATGCAGTCTGGAAGAGAAAACATAAGAGGATTTTTAACAATCATTAGTTATTTTATACCTAACAGCAGGGTAAGACTTTCCAATTATTCATGGTGACATGAGAAAAAAGAAAAAAGAAAAAAAAATCTGGAATAGGAAGTAGGGATAATGTAATTTAATAAAAATACAGTGCAAGTTAAGTAGATGAAAGGAAGCGGAGGCTTGTGGGGCAAGGGTTTTGTGCTTTTTCTTGTCCACATGTTTAACTACTTCTACTCCTCCCCAATACTTCTGAAATTAAAAGTTCAATTGGCTTTTTTTCCTTTCCCTTCACTATTTAGAGAAAAATCCTCTATATTCTTCCAATCAAGTCACCATATTAAAAAAAAATTTTTATAACAAGAATGTTCTGACAGACGTTAAGAACGGGACTACTTTACTATCCATGCACTTGCAGAAAATAAACAAAAGAAACAGTCAAAAAGCAAATATCAGAATGAAATTAATTCAAGAAAAGATGTGAATTTTATGAACTAGATAGGTCTAATTTTTCAAAAAGTACAGATTCACTAAAGAATTTTTCCATATTGAATGGTGTCACAAAAGCACGTAAATGTTGATTTAATTTTAGTTGGAAAAAATTCTTAGATCAAAGTTAAAATTTTTGAGCTTTGTCAGTGATGATCACATCATGGGCACTGAAGGTCAGAGAAGTTTTCCTAACCACGCTATTCAGGGAGGTTTGCAGATAATTTCTAAACATTCTCATTCCCCTACACACAGCCATGGGCGTAACAGTACATCCTTCCCAGTCCTCTAGATGCAAGACTCCTCAAAAGCCACCTATTATGCCAATTAAAGAATGCATTTCTCTGCTATGACTTCATCATCATGGAAATCTAAAAAATCTAGACTTTGTATTTCAGAAGGTACTGACCTTCCTATACAAATGTATAAGAAATAAGGAAGGAAAAAAGTGAGAATATTTTTTACATTTCTCCATTAAAAATACTCTATTAAAAAAAATTAGATACATCCTTGAAAAATAAAACTGTGCATGCAGTGATATTGGCTCCTTCATCTTTTTATTTTTCCCCTCCTTACTAGTTAACTTTCTTCTCCACACATTCATCAGTCACTTGCAGTGTTTCTAACATCTCCCATTAAGTAAAGTATCACGAAGCTGGTATAGCATAGAAATACTGCTATACTAGCCCTATAAAAAAGCAAAAACGTACAAGAAAGGTACCACCTCTTGTATTAGTACATATATTCAAATGTTTGGTTAGATTTCCTATGCAAATACAAACTACTACTATTTTAATGAAAAACAGAACAAACTTTTCCTGATTTTTGCCCTCAAAAAGACACAATTGAGAGCTGACACTTATTTTTTATGGCCTACCATTCCTGTTTAGCTTTGAGCAAAGTACTTTATTTGGAAGGATCTTGGATTCTTAAATCTTAGCTAGTTAGCCTGAAACTTTTAAATGGAAAAGCAGGATCTGCAGCACATCATTTCTTATGCAGCTTGATCACATCACAGTAATGACACGCAACATAGACTTCAAAATATTTAGATCATAAGTTGTTTTTTATTAACTTTCCAGGAGCAACACAAGGGCAGCACATAGCCTAATAAATCTAAAGTGGAAAAAAATGATATGATAATCCCATGAATACAGAAAAGTACAAAGTCAAATTATGAAATTACATTTGGCAAAGCTGCTTTAAGATCTGAGAAGATTAATCTAGTCTTTATTTTTTATGCTGCTTTTAAGTAAAAAGTTTTATTTAACAAAATATCACACCAACCTGTTTTGTTATATTGCCATGGAGAAGAGCTTCAATGTGTAACCGTGACAGCAGTTGAGCTATAAAGGCCTTGAGGCGGGGAAGAGTGACATCTAGAATAAATATTTAGACAATTAAATCAATTACATGCATTTTTACATTAAGAAGTACCTAACTCATAATGAGATATGGTGCATTTCTTAGAGGAGGAGAAACTCATCATCACGAAAAAGTGAATCTCTCCTTAAAAATGCAACACTGGAAAGTTTCCAGATCTAAATAGCAGCACTCATCATATAGTTTGTTTCGCTTAGAATTCACATACTGTCTGACCCAGATTCCAAAAAGAAAAGGAAAAAAAAAAGCCGTCCTTCCAATCATGCTGAACAAACATTCATTCTCCTGAGAAAACAGTTGCAATCATTCAGGTGGTGTACCATGATAAACCCCTAGATACTAACTAAACAAGTAGCATGTAGTTTATAATGCTCAAGAAACACACTGTGCGTTTACCACCTAGACTAAAAAAAAAACCCCTCAACTCAAATATGGTGTTTTGATAGTATCTTTGTAACAAAAACTACACAAGAAAAATATTTTTTGCAATGCATCCGAGAGTACACATACACACACATTCTATGCGAGCCTGTCTTTGAAAAGCAGCTTTCCTGTATAACGCAAAGTACAGTTTAACATACACAGAATCAATGGAATAAGAGAGGAAGGATGGATGAATGGATGGGATGTTCATCCCAAATTCAACATCTCCATTCTGAATTCCCTGACACTACAAGAATACTCACACTGTATCACCAAGTCTATTAATTTCTCATTTTGTAATTTTCTTGGCTAAAATAAAAACTAACAATACTCATGTATTTCACAAAACTTTTGAAAAAAAACAAATGCAATTAAGATTATGAGGTCAGTCAGTTATTCAGTGGGGGATGCATACATATCTAACAGACTCGTGATTCCTATTAGAAAATCCCATAACATTCTTATCAGTCTACCCTTTCTTAGAAGAGGTAAAAGACCACTACCAAAAAATTAATTTCCACATTTTTCCTTGAATCCAAATCAAATTTTTATTGTTGTATAATCTTAATCTTAATTTTTTCCTCTAGAATTGCTTATTAATAGTGCAAAAGATTATGGTCACATCAAGTGTGAGAGAGAAAAAGAGAAACAAACAAAAAACCATATATAAACTCCATGTATTTCAAGCAGATTTCCAGCAGTGCTAAGTAGACAACATTCCCTTTTTAGCTGTTCTTATGCTGAATACAGTAGCAGTGATCTTATAAAGACAACTTACACACGGAGCAGAAAATATTTTATTTTTTTCAAAATTACGTAGCCATTAAAAAAAATTAATGACCTACATAAAGCTGAACACACTGCCATGAAAATAGGAGTTAGTTTTGTCACTGACTTCACAGGCAGCACTGACACCATTGCTGATCTCAGAGATACCTGCAATCATTCAAGAAACTACACAACTAAACATTGATTATGTCAATCCCGGAGCAATCCCGCAGAAAAAATACACAGCCCTGTGCAGCCAGCTCAGGGCATCTACAGAGTCTATCTTAATGAAGCAGTTTTCAGCATCACAACTTCAAGCGGTATGGTTATATGTCAGTCTTTGACAACTACAGATAGGTATTCTGAATCTACCCCCTCAAAGAAATACAAAAGACAGATATTCTCTTTGAAAATAATGTCTCTGTGTATTCCAAGAAGATATTTCAATATATTTTATAAACTGTCCCAGTTTTATTGTAACACAGTAAAATATAGGTAGGGAAGAATTCTTCAGCTATTACTAAAATCAATTAAATATCTTAATTTGAAATGTCTTCTTCCTCTAAATATAGTGGGTGGCCTTCTCTTTGTTAAGAGCCACAATGTTCTTTACTCTTCATTATAGTTATTATCTACAGAAATTATATGGTTTTTCTTTATTATCTACACAAACAGGAGTTAGGATTCCCTGATAATGGAAAAAACAAAATAGTATGCACACTGGGAAGTACAATGCAGATACACGCCAATGTGTCTGCAAGATGTCAAGAAGAGCCAAATGATTTTAGCAGTGTTGGTTAAGCACTGGATTCACCATACGCAGGCTCATGCCCACACGCTCAGTTCTGCCTGAACCTGCAAGTTCTGCCATTTGAGGCCTTTTGCCTGAACTACTATACTTTGTAGAAACTTGAGGACAAGCGCAGAGGCATCAACATCCACCAGCATCAGCTCAGGTCTGGCACTGCAGGGGCTTCACTTGAATAATGAGTGGAGTTCAAAATAGGTACCTTCATTAGTTGCAGTAACAAGAAAACATAAAAATAATAAAGTTTAAAGGTGGTAGAACATTACCATCTAGAGCTTCTTTTAATTCATCTTTGGTCCAAGCAACTTCTGTCATCAGGAGTCGGAGATAATACATTGCATGCTGGTGAGGCTGTTCAGCCCTGAAGTTGTTAAGTGATCTCATGTACTATAACAAAACAATTAAATGCAAATTATAGAACTCTACTTCTAAACATAAAATATTAACCATGTACTCTCAACTTTGTGTACTTTTGAAAAGATACGTTTCAGATGTCAAGAAAATTCTTTTGCTTGTTAGACATGTTAAAAAATCATGTTAAATTACCTAAATAACAATGTGGGTTTCTGAGACTATGCAGTAACAATTAAGATAGTTGAAATGAGCATGAAATCAAACTCCGCCATAAAATTAATGACTGGAAATTAAATTATTGCAGATAGACCTAAACCAGTATTTAGAATAAGCTGCTCTGCCCAGGAAATACACATTCTCACAGAATCACAGAATCACAGAA